GAGTGGGATGAGAGTGGGATGTATGTGTGTCTGACGTAACTCCCTCTGCCTTAGGGTGTGCTGTGTGTGTGTGTGTGTGTGTGTGTGTGTGTGTGTGTGTGTGTCTGAGTCTGACTTGGACCCAGGGCTAGGTGGGTGGGTGTCTGACCTGTCTCCCTTTATCTTAGGGTGTGCTGTGCCGGACTCTTCAAGGCCACGGCCACTGGGTGAACACCATGGCACTCAGCACTGACTATGCCCTGCGTACAGGGGCCTTTGAGCCTGCTGAGGCCACCATCAATGCCCAAGATCTCCAGGGGTCCTGTGAGTGAGTGGGAGATGGCCGGAGAGGGCTGCCCGGGAAGGAGCCAGTCCTCTAGCGTAACAGACGTTGTAACCGCTTGTGTTGAATTTTCTAATCAGTGTTGTTTCTCATCTCTCTCCTTTGGTATCTGGACACAGTGCAGGAGCTGAAGGAGAGGGGGCTGAGCCGGTACAACCTTGTGCGGGTGAGAGTGTGCCCCTCAGCACCCCAGTGCTGTGTTCTCCCTCAGCTCGTCCCTGAAGCTCTCTCTGCAGTCCCTCTACCCCCTCCCTGCAAACCTGCTCCAGGGAATAGTTCTTGCTTGTGCTCCTTTGTGATCTAATCTTCCCGTGCTAGGAAGCGCTTTATTTTGTGTTTTATTTGCTTGTTTACTTCATTCCAGGGCATTGGTTTTTTTAATGTTTATTTAGATTTTTAAGGAGCGCATTTCATGTGGTGTAAGGTATAAATAAATCCAAAAGGCAGATTGTCAAACATTTCCCGTCTCCTACACAGCCATCTAGTCATTCTGGAAGGATCTGGTGCTACCAGTACCTGTGTCTCCTTGCAGAGCTTGCCTGTGTGCCCCTCTGTGTATCGCCTTACAAATCCCTTCTATACTATCTTATAACTATGTATCTTAGAAATCATTCCACATATACATGCAGGATTTGCTTTTCTTTGGGTTACATATGAGCGAGAGGCCAGCCCGGGCCCCATTTCTGCAGCCCCAGCGTCCGTCCCTGGTACTCGTTATCACTGTCTGACCACACCCAACAGTGTGTGCTTCCTGCTTCCCCCAGGGCCAGGGTCCAGAGAGGCTCGTGTCTGGCTCCGATGACTTCACCTTGTTCCTGTGGTCCCCTGCAGAGGACAAGAAGCCTCTTGCACGCATGACAGGACACCAGGCCCTCATCAACCAGGTGCTCTTCTCTCCTGACTCACGCATCGTGGCCAGCGCCTCCTTTGACAAATCCATCAAGCTGTGGGACGGCAGGACGGGCAAGTGAGTGGAGAGGTGGGGCTGTTCCCTTGTGAGCAGTGGAAGAGGCTGGATGCTGCCACCTCCTTCCTACCTGTGTGACTTGGGTAACGTGTGGATTTCCTGAGCCTCTGCTTCCTCCTACCTCTCAGCACAGTTACAAGGACTAAGGAGAGGCTATATTTAGGACTGGTACTAAGTAGGTACTAAAAATGCTAGTTCAACACATATTAAAGGAGAGGAAAGGCCAAAGGACGAGGCATGCAGCAGCCCAAAAGAAGGTAAAGCAAGAGCTGAGTTAGTGGTCTAGTTCTCATGTTGCCTTCCTCAAAGCAGGATCCCTGGACAGGCAAATTGGCATTTTCTGGAGCTTAGTAAAAATGGAAAGTTGTGGTCCCCATTCTAGACCTTGAGGATCAGAATCTGCACTTTAGTAAGATGGGTGGGGTGGTGTCATAGGAATTATAGGAGACCCTGATACCCCTCAGGTAATTCTGCTACCAGGTAAGGTCTGAGAAGGCCTGGTGAGGAGGCATAGTGTCCTGGGGGTTAGATGGGTTAGAGGAGAGGCAAAGAGAGGCACACGGAGAGAAAAGATCAGGGGAACCCACGTGGGGGCCGAAGCAAAACTGATGGGCCAGGCATGGCGTATTTTCACATAGCCATTCCTTGAAGGATTCTTTTTAAAAATTAAGCTTCCAAGCACAGCAATACATCTGTCATCTCAGCACTTGGGTTGATAAAGCAGGAGGGTCACAAGTTTGAGTCCCCCCTGGGTAACTGAGCAAGACCCTAAAATTGTAGCTCAGCATGAAGGTCCTGGGTTTTATTTGCCAGCATCACAGGACAGAAAACAATGTCAGAGAGGCCTTATGGCTTAGGACGGCAGGAGCCCAGGGATTGTAGGAGACCCTGTCATACTCAAGCTCCTCACCTGCAGCATGCAGCTGCAGGGAAAAGGTCCTAGCTAGCCAGACAACTGACTTGAAACTTCCAGGGGGTCTGGCCACTGTTGCTCCACACCCCACGTCAGCAGGCTGCGGCAGGAAGTTATCGGGCAGATGGGCTATGCACGTGGCTGCACTGCGCTCTAAGGCCCATGCAGGCATGGAGCCCTAGCAAGAGGCACCCGACTGGGAGCCCTACAAGATGTTAATGAACCACAGTGATGAAAGTGCTGTGGCCTGGCCCGGCAGCATAGTTTCGTAAAGTTCCCAGGTAATTTTAACAGGCGGCTGAGGTTAGGAGTCACTGTGATGGGGCAGGGGGGACCCCTTCAAACCTATTTGAAAATCTGATACTCATCACTGTCTTCCCTGCCCAGGTACCTGGCCTCGCTGCGTGGCCATGTAGCCGCCGTGTACCAGATTGCGTGGTCAGCCGACAGCCGGCTGCTGGTCAGCGGCAGCAGTGACAGCACATTGAAGGTGTGGGACGTGAAGGCCCAGAAGCTGGCCACAGACCTGCCAGGCCACGCGGATGAGGTGGGGCTGACCCCCAGGGCAGAGGGCACTGGGGTTGTACTTGGCCCCTGTCCCCCTGCTACTATACTGGCCTAGCTCCCCTTGGTTTAGGTCTATGCTGTTGATTGGAGTCCAGATGGCCAGCGAGTGGCGAGTGGTGGGAAGGACAAGTGCCTCCGGATGTGAGTAGAGGGGCATTGTTTGCTGTCCTGCCCAGAAGTCAGTTGGTCTCTTTGCATTCTTTCCCTCATAGCATAGAATTCTGAGGGACCCTCCCTGTGCCCCCTCTATCTCCAGGGTTATGTGGAGCCAGGTTCTCAGTGGGCAGATGAGGGATATGCTGGGACACCCAGACCCTCTCAGGCCACTCCAGCAGGCACGTATAGGTCTCCAGCTTGAGGCAGTAGTTCAGGACTTTAGAGTCCTTGAAACCTGAGTTCATTCAGGTCCTGGTTCTGCTTTTGAGTGTGTAGGCATGGACCTTAGTGGATCTTTCTCTTGGGACTTATAGAGCCTTACATAGGAGGATCACAGGTAGGAAAGCAAATACTTCGAGACCTAAAGCCCTATGCGGATGAAGGGTTGTCACACTTTGGTGGTGGGCATCCCAGAAGCCACAAGCCTGGGTAGAGGTCTGGGTTTAGGTGGGCATGGCTAGAGCAGGGATGGTGCCAAGATCCACCGATGATCTGAAGGAACGCTGTGGGCTCCTCGGATTACATGGCAGCATTCCCCATCCTGATTCCCTCCTCTCCCACAGATGGAGGAGATGAAAATTCCTGCAGTTCTTCTGGACCCAGCCTCTGCCAGCTACCTGAACTAAGTGAACAAAGGCCAGGGTCGCAGTGCCCCACACCCTTCCAGTGGTGGCTTCCAGTCCTTGACAGATGCCTGTGGGGTTTCCCCATGGGTCCCCTGCCTAGGGTACACCCTAGTGGTAGAAATCAGTCTCAGGAAGCTGGCAGTGAATTGGGCAGTGGGCACCACTCTGCTGCTCGCTCAAGGGAAATAGGGATGGGAGGCCGGGCTCTGTGTGGGCCTCCACTGCTGGCCCTGCCTCCTTTTGTGCTCAGGTCAGACCCCAGGTTCCATGGCCAAATAAATAACTTCTATTTTGTGTGAGAGTTATAATTCTTTGTCCTAGAATTCCAGGGCTTAACTCAGAACTGTGATAAATCCTTTGGCCTCCTCCCTTGCTCTGCATGACCCCAAAACCAAACTGACCTGGAAGGGAGAGGTAGGGCTGGACAGTAGATGCGCGGCTGCACTGCCCTTGGTCTGCAGCACTGGTAGGTGCAAACTGGAGATAGAACCTGTCTTGCTTGCCTGCACCGCCAGCACTGGACAGCAGAGGGCGTGCTCATCAGCAGAGTTCTGGCCCCCAGCCCTGCTCCAGGGATGCCTCTGACTCAAGCTCCACACCTGTGGAGGCACTGCTGGACACTGAGCACTGTGCTGGACTCAGGCTGGAGAGGGTAAGACGACATCCATGGGGGGGCCGGGCTGGCAGTGTTATGGGCAGTGCTGAGAGCTCTTCCAAGCATGGGCATGGAGTACGGCAGAGGGTAGCGTTCTTTGCAAGTGAATAGAATCCCCACTCAGACCGCCTTGGACCCTTGGCCAAGACCTTGCCATGTGTGCATGCTGCCTATGCCTCCTCCCGTGTCAGGTGCTGACGGAGCATGGTGACCTATGTGCAGGTTAGGCCTCCAAATCATCCTTGCAGGAAGCGCTCAGGGCCTCAGCACTTCTACTATCCCCATCCTTCTCACTTTCCAATAGTGTGTCCTGTTACAGTTGGTGCTTCACCTCGCTGTGGTTCTCAGCCTCCACCCTGTACATTTGCAGTGAGAGACGGAGGCAGCCATTGGTTGCCGAGCTCCTTGGTGCCAGGTGCCAGGTGCCAGGTGCCAGGTGTGGTTCTTCTGTGCTCACACTGACCCTGCACCCAAGCCTGGAAGTTTCACACATCCTCATACTTTAGCAAGCTGCCTGGACCCAGAAAGATTAAAAGTGACTTTCCCATGCTCTCACACCAAATAATAGGAGGAGCAGAAATTCAAGCAGATACTGCCCCCAGAGCTTAGGCACCTTGTGCTACACCCCTCTAGAGCTCAGATCTAGTGCTGATCTACAGACCACCACATCTGTCCACCATTGCTGTCTGTCCTTGTGAAGACCAGCCCTGCACAGTAGGACCAAGGCACAGCCAAGCAGCAGGGTGGTGGTAATGTCCCTGCCGCCCAGCCACCCTGGTTTCTACTTTACCACCCACCCTGACTCTTTGTTCTGGCAGGAGCTAGGAGATAGGCGACAGCTGACCCAGCGGTGATTGTCCAAAAGCAGGAAATGGAACTTAGGGGTGCTGCATAACCTGCAGTTCTTTAATAGGGGTGGGGAGTTGCAATGTTTGCAGGTGAATTTGGCCTTGGCCCGGCAGTGGCCTTCTGGTACCAGTACCACCAGGCCCTGAGTTGTCAGAGTAGTCCTAGGTTCTCCAGCAAAGTTATGCTGTCTGAGCTCTGAGCCCTCTGTTAGTAGGGTAACAGGTATTCCAGGTCCTCCAGCTTCCGCATGTCCTCCGGCCCCATACACACTATCCTCTGCTGCGGCTCCCTGCGCTTCACGGTGATCTGGACAGGGTTGCTCTCAGGGAAGCTGCTTAGGTCCCTGGCCACAGTTGCAAACTGCAGTGAAACAAGAAAGCCCTCTGCTTTAAAAAAGGAAAACCGAGTCAGGAATTTAGCTCTGGCACAAGTGGCCTGCCTGGCAACTGCAAGGTTGTGAGTTCAATCTCAAAACCAAAACCAGAACAAAAAAAACCCCAAAACAATTAAAAATTCAATGCCTAGCCAGGCATGGTCGCTCATGCCTGTAGTCCCAACACTCCAGAGGCTGAGGCAGGAGGATTGTTGTGAGTTTCAGACCAGCCTGAGCTACAAAATGAGCTCAAGGCCAGCCTGAACTACATAGTGAGACCCTGTCTCAAATTAAAAAAGGAAAACCTCTCAAGTCCTTCCCAGACCCAAGCCTGACTCTCCCTTCATCTTGGTTACCGTCTTTTTTTGTCTGCTAAGTGGGCTCATAGGTGTCACTTTATCCAGCCCAGTCATGGAAGCAGAAAACAGATCCAAAGAGGCATGATTCAAACCTGTATGTCCCAACTCACTTTCTATCCAGAGGGTTGTTTGTATGTGGCCTCTCTTCACCCGTAGGCCCTTATTTACCCCAGGAGTTTCCCTTCATCTTCCCCAACACAGCCTTTTCCTGTTGCCCACACTTCCTGGCCCACTCACAGTTATTAGTAATATGGAACCCAAAACATTTGGGTTATGGTAGTCCTGTAGAAGACAGTTGTCTGCACTCCTGGTGGGCCCTTGAGTAGCTTAATCCTTAAACGTTCCTGAAGAAAGCAGTCGAATCACCGCTTGTTCCAGGCAGGAAGAAAGCTAACAAGATGAGGTGGGGGTGTAGGAGCATTCCAACCTCCATGGCCCTGGTTTCCTGGACTCAGACCTCTACCTTCTCCCGGGGCTTACTTTGTAGGGCTTGCACCACTTCCCCACCCCAGCTGTATTGGCTGCGCGGACAGTGAGGCAGTAGATCCTGTTAGGCTTCAGCTCCATCAGTTTGACGGTGGTACCCAAGATCTTGTTGAAGATCCAGGGGCGGTTTTTTGTCTTGGGCAGCTCACCATCTTTCTTATTGGCCATCTCTTGTAACAGGACTTGGTAGAAACTGACCTGCTGCTTGCCCAAGGCATAGGTCCAGGAAATCTGTGGGGAGAAAGACCAAGCTTCCTTAGACTTGACCTATCCTCCCAACCGGGGTTCCCATCCCCTGCTCCTGTTGGCAGGTGTGAAGGAAGGTGTGTGGCCCCACCTGCCCCCAGCATGCCCCCCCCCGTCATAAGGTGCATCCCCATTCCATCTGTGTACCAGACTGAGTATGTCAGGTAAGAGTCCTAGAGACTGTCTAGTCCACTTTACTCATTGCCAATGGGGGTGATTTCCAGTTTCTCCTCCATCTAGGCCAGGAAAGATTCAGATCAAATGCCACCAGGAATTCAGAGGGAAAGAAAAGTTCTTGAACTTTTGGTGGTTCTCAGGAGACTTACTGAAACAGATCCCCTCATCCAGTTTCTGGTTCAGTAGACCCAAATGTGGTGGAAGGAGATGAGAATTTAAATCTCTAACAAATGGCTGTGTAATACTGATGTAGCCTGCCTCCCCTGTGTAGGGACCACACTGAGAAACATTGCTGTCAGCCAGCACTGGCAAACCTAGAGCACAAGTGTCACCTCAGGCATACAGAGCTCTCTGCCAGCAGGAAGCCAAGTCACCCCAGCATCTGAGCATCGGATATTCAGGTTTAATTGTAGTGTTGGCACTCTGCAATAAAAAAGTGGGCTTGGGGTTGCAACTCGGGCACTTGGATTCTAAAAAGTCGCCATCACTGTTCTAAGCCATCCAGCAAGGGACCTTCCAGATTTATGTGACTAAAGTACAGTTCAGATTATTCCCAGGAGCCTGGGAGAGGAGCTCAGTGATGAAGTCTGTCTAGCACATGCAAGGCTCTGTGTTTGATCCCCAGAAACACAAGCAAGGCAAAAAAAGCAAAGCCATCCCATTTCTGACATACAACCCTGTACAAAGCTATTCCCTATTGCTTGCTGAGAAATCTACCAAGTAGCTGGACACTGAACAAACCATGGATGATGGCCCCAGGCTAACACTCCCCCCCCCATACTCCACCATCGCACTGCTCTGGTTGACTTGGGACTACAGCATCAGCATCATGTGGGATTCTATTAGCAATGAAAATCTCATCACTGAAAAAACTCAGGATGAGGCCCAGGGGCCTCAGTTTCTACTGTAGCATCATCAACAAGCAAGAATCCCTGAATTAGGATCTGGGATCCAAGGAGACAGCTGCTTATTTCCTCCCACACTTCCCACCTGCACGTTGGGATCAGCCCTTCACAGCACGCCTTCCTCCTCCATCTCTAGATATTCAAATCCTACCTCTGTTACCCAAATCCTGCAACTGTGACCAAAAGCCAGTAGGTGTATTACTCCAGCTGGAAGTAATGTTTCATTCCTTGTGAATTCGCAGTGGCACTTGATCTGAGTCTGTCCTGCAGCACTGACCCCCCGCCCCCCGACTTCCTGACCCATGACCTTCCAGGTCAGGAATCTTCACATTCCCAGTGGAGCCAGCTCAGTGCTAGCACAGTAAGCTGTTGCCAGGCTCGTGGACGCAGGAAACGCACCACTGCTGTGGAATCGCTGACGGTGTGTTCGCAGATGAAGGGGGGCTCTGGCACATGCACGACCACGGAAGATTCTGAGTGTGTGGAGGAGGAGTCTGTATCTAGCTCAGATTTGTCAAGGTCCACCAGGCCCCTGGGGACCATTTGGGATGTAGATGGGCAGGGGCAGAGGGCCAGGTCTTCCCCCTTTGCTGTGTCCTTGGCCTTCGAGGAAAAGTTGAGTTTGTTCAGTTCTCCCTCCAGCAATCCGGCAAAGAAGCTGCTGTTGGGCTGGGTCACGGCCAGTTTGACAGGGTTCAGCAAGGTGGATGACACGCGGGAAATGCTGGTGTCATCAGAGCTGTACTCGGACTCTTCCACTGGTATCGGCTTCCTGGAGCAGAAGGGAGGCCAGTGAGCCCGATAAAGGAGACTACCCAGCCCATTCAGCCTGCGGACCCACGGCCCATGCTCCTAGCTGCTTCTCAGCACCTAGAAACCTCTGACTACACTGCAGCAGTGCATCAGACCTACCACAGTGCTTGCTAAAAATGCGGATTCTAGGGCCAGGGAAAAGCTCAGTGGCACAGTGCCTGCCTGGCAAGTGCGAAGTCCTGAATACATAAATACAGGTACCAAAATAAATACATAAATAAATATCTGGTACCTAAATAAATAAATACATAAATACAGATTCTTGGTTCTAGTTCCCAGCTGGGCTGTGACAGGGGAAACTGCAGATTCAGGAAGCTGTTTAGATGATTCTGATGTAATTCTGAGAACTACAATTAGAAAACAGCTAAAACATTTTTAAATACTTCAAAGTGGGATGCAAGCTCCCCAAAAGATAGCTATAGAAAGTTACTACAGTACAGAAAAATATCTATAGATATCTAGTAAAAAGCAATAAATTGAGCTTTACTATTATGTAATATTTAACAACGCTAACAATTTTTATTAATATGTCGTACATAAAATAATGTGGACTGTGTACAATACATATATTGGGTGAATCCTGAAGAATCTTATTATTCTGTTTTTTTTCTGGGGTGTAAACTCATCCTCTCGCACATGCCAGGCAGGTACGTGTGCCACTGAGCTAAATTCCTGGCTCCTTCTGTTTGCTTTCATTTTAAGACAGTTTTGCTACTGCAGTCCAGGTTGACTATGAACTTGCCAAGTAACCCAGGCTGGTCTTGAACTTGCATTTCTCTTCCCTCAGCCTCCTAAGTGCTGGGGTCGCAGGCATGTACCACCAGGCTGTTTGGTTGTTTGTTTTTAAATTATGAAATACCTTAAACATACACAAAGACATCAAGAATGAGCCAGGCATGGTGGCGAATGCCTATAATCCCAGCACTCAGGATGCAGAGGCAGGAGAATTGTGAGTTCAAGCCCAGCCTGGTCTACAAAGTGAGTTCCAGACCAGCCTGAACTGCATAGTGAGACCCGGTCTCAAAGTAATAATTATTATTATTGTTACAATAACTAAGCTTGATATGTAGTGCTTGCCTATAATCCCAGCACTCTGAAAGGCTGAAGCAGAAAATCACAAGTTTGAACCCAGCCTGGGCAAATTAACAAGACATAGATAGACAGATAGATGTAGCTCAGTGCAAAGATCCTACGTGCTAACCCCAGTGCAACAAAATAATAATAACAATATGCTAAACTTCCCATTTAGTCCTCATTCAGCTCCAGAAGTGAAGCCTGGGCTCGGGGTGGAGCCCACCCCATGGCAGAGCACTTGCACAGAACCCTGGCTTCCCTCCTCTGTACAGAGGACAGAAAAGGGGAAGAGAAAAAGCCCAGATTAGTGTCATTAAAGTCTGAGTGTTTCTGTCCACTACACTCTACATTGTCCCACTCCAAGGGAACCAGGAGACTAAATTTTATATTTATATATTTATTTTTGTCTTTTTCCTTTTTATTGGTACCAGGGATCAAACTCATGACTGCCTGCTTGCAAAGCAGGGGCTTATGCCACTGAGCTAAATCCCCAGCCCCTATTTTTGTGTTTTTGAGACAAGGTCTCACTATGCAGTTCAGGCTGGCCTTGGGCTCACTTTGTAGCCCAGGCTGGTCTCAAACTTGCAAAGATCTTCCTGCCTCAGCCTCCTGAGTGCTGGGATTATAGGTGTGTGCCACCATGCCCGACTTTTCAGCAGACTAAATTTTAAATTTTCTATTACTGTGTGTGAGGTTTTTTTTTTGCATTTTATTACATATGTATGTTATCCCTAGGCAAGAGCTATTATTATGCATGTTTTAGACTTTATACAAATAAAAGGTTATTCAGTACCTTTCAATCTGCAATTTGCTTGTTTTTGACTCAGTGTTGTTCTGATTGGGTCATTTTAACTTTTTATCATTTTCCATTACATAGATAATTATACTGTTACCAGTTCTCTGCTATCACAAAGAAAAACTTTTGGGGCTGGGGATTTAGCTCAGCAGCATAAGGACCTGCCTTGCAAGCAGGCAGTCGTGAAATCGATCTCCGGTACCGATAAAAACAAAAACAAAAACAAAAACAAAACTTTGTACATGATACCCTGCTATTTAATTTTTTTTTAACTGATGAAATCCACCAACCCCAAAGGTTTGGCTTTCAAATCTTTTTTATACCTTGATCTACAGTAAGAAATACATATTGCTTAGTATCTATATACATACACATACAACTAAAACATTTGAAAACCTCGTCCTTACTGTCTGTACGCTGGAATTTCAGATTCTATTTTCATTTAATTTTATCATATCCATCAGCCTGAAGGAACTTCTGACCGTTAATGGTTCAGAACCCACAGAATCTATGGATCCCTTGAGAGTGTGCTTGGCAGGGGAACCAAGTTACTTGTATGCCCTTGACCAAGGAACGGTCCTCCTCCATCCAGGATGGTCGTCCTCTGTGACCCAGCATCTTTAGGAGAGATGCACACAGAGGGGGGAGGGAGGAAGGGACACCCTCCTAGCCAGCCAGATCAGCCGAATCAACCCTGGTGATCCATGGGGTGACATGTCACAGCCAGATGGCTTTCACCCCACCTAAAGACCCCTTAGTCCAGATTAGCCTCTCACTTTACAGGTGCTCAATGGTCTATCATTTTCCTCTGCACCGAAACCCATCTGTCTTCTCCAGGGAAACCCCTATCCGCCCACACCCCTCTTTTGGCTCTTGCACGTTTGGAGTAAATGAGTCCCTGTTAAGGTCCTACATCTTTAGGGTGAAAGTATGGATATAAATACCACTTACGCTTTATGCTGCCCTAATGGATCTGTATTTCAGATTCACTTATTGGAAATGCTGGTACTGAAGTAGGCACAGAAGCCGCTAGGCACAGAGCCACCTGTTGGGGCATCCTCTCTCTGAACTTCATAACCTTCCTGCTGGGTATAACAGAGTCCTCAGTCTTCATGAACTTGTCTTTGGCTATATCTAAGGTGGAACTTGGATTTGAAGTCGGGTTCCTTGCCTAAGGCTTTGCCACTACACTGAAGTTTCCTACAAACAGTGGTCGCTTGAGTTAGACCACACTTAGCGTTCCTGAGGGAATGGACGCCACATGGCTCTCCTATCAAGACAGCATCGAGTTTGTGGGGCTCAGTGCAAGTTGAAGTGTGGCAGGTCTTGTTTAAAGTTGTCAATCAGGGTTTCAAGACAGAGATGGCTGAGCATTAAATTAGACACAGGCCCCTTCTAACAGTGGAGTTGGGTAGAAACTGCCCTGTAGACCGTTCCTTAGCCCACACCGCCTCATGCCAATCTCTGCTGGAGTTTCTGCTCAAATACGCCTTCCTCCAGGGAGCCACTAGCCACTCCTCTCTTCTCCCAAGCTGTCCCAGCCCACACTGGGTGCTCAAGGCAGCCTGGTAGAGCACTTTCCAGACCATGCCGTCACCCTTATTGCCTGATGGTACCCAACACTACCCTAACCATTGCCACCAGACTAGATGCTCCTTGAAGGCAGGGGCTACTTCCCAGCTCTGTGTTCTCAGGTCTTAACAGCTTGCCTGTGTAAGTTTCTTGGTATAAAGTACAGGAAAACTGTGAAGCACAGTTGAAAGGCAGCCAGGCTTTGTAGTAGGGGGACATCTTCAGACAGGTGATGTATCCGAGTGGGAGGAATGAGGGAGAGGAGCCATGGGGCGGGGAGGTGAGGCCCTCTCCAGACAAGCAGGATGAAGAGTACAGTCAAGACTAATCCAGAAAGGCTGAATGCAGTGTGCAGGCCAAATGCCCCAAGAACTGATCTGGGGCTCAGGAACACAGGTCCAATCTGTTCTAGCTCTTTCCTGGGGGCCCAGGGACCAAGTGAGCCAGGTTAAGGAAGAAACACCTCTGCGAGTCTCTCTCCCCACCCCAGCTCCACCTTGGACAATAGAGAAGCACCATGCTTACATGAGATTGATGGAATCTGCCTCCAACATGGTAGCCAAACTGCCCCTTGAGGAAAGTGGGCGTCCTTTGGTAGCGATGGTCCGGTTCATAAACTTGGGGTTTGGAAAGGGCTTTGGCAGTTGATCGAGCGCATCTTTAACACTGAGGTTTTCTTTCTTCAGTATGCTCTCCTCCCCACCCCCCACTTTACAGAGTGCCTCGGATGCCATCTGGGTTGTTGGGGACCACAGTGGTCACCATACAGAACAAACCAGTTAACAGGAAGCAGAGAGAAACTGTGGGAGCAGGGAGCCCCCCCTTTAGATGGGGTGGGGCAGGCTGCAAGGAGCTGACTTCACAATCGTCATGGAGTTTAACAATTAGGGGCCAGCCTCCCTCATGGGGGGGTTGCAATCCAGCAGTCAGGCCAAGAGCCAGTGTCATGGGGTGGTGAGAGATGAGGAACAAACTGCACGGCTCTAAGACCACAAGGTGAAGCTGGGCGTGGAGGCGCACAGCTGTGATCCCAGCATTCAGGAGGCTGAGGCAGGAGGATCATTGTGAGTTCGAGTTCAGCCTCGGTTACACAGTGAACTGAAGACCAGGCTGAAATGCACAGTGAGACCTTGTCTCAAAAAGACAAAAACAAAACAGAAACCTCACAGTGCTTCATGCCTCTGCCCTTCAGAACTGCCCCGGAAGAAGGATGGGAAGAGAAAGGGCCTGGTGCAGAGGGAGGCAGCCCTGGAGGGGCCCTAAGGATGGGAGATTCCTATAGATGTGGAGGCTCTGTGTTCTGGTCAGGAGGCAGCAAATTTGTAACACCCAGTTGTGTAGCGGGAAAGTCCAGATGGGTCCTGAGGATTCAGAGTGCACAGGGACCCTGGTATTACTGCTGATATTCTAAATGTGCCACACCACCCGCCTAAGTACATTCAAGCATTCAGTGACACGGCAGAGGAACTTAAAACTTGGGCCAGGCATGATCTGTGCTCCCAAGAAAACCACTCTAGACACGAACAGTGGCACACACTAGAAATATCAGCTGTTTGGAGGCTGAGGCAGAAAGACTGGAAATTTGAGACAAGCCTGGGCTATTTAATGCTTCAAAATAATAATAGGCTGGAAATGTAAGTCAGGGCACAATCCCCAGTACCATTAAAAAAGAAAAAACTCACTACAGTAGGAAAACACATTATTTTGGGGGGTGGGGGGCAGATAGCACTAGCCGCCTGGTGTGGTGGTACCTTCTGTAGTGTAGCACTCTTGGAGGCTGAGGCAGGACCACCACAAGTTCAAGCCCTGCCTAGGCAATCTAGGGACTTAGCCACATCCTCTCAAAATAAAATATAAAGGGCCTGAGACGCAGCCAGTGCAAAGGCCGTAGGCACAGTGCTTAATACCATACCACGAAAAAAAAGTATTGACTATACACTTAGATGTAGACACAGCCCAAATCTACTAGCTGTGTATCCCAGGGCAAGAGATTTTACTATTTTACCTTCCTTCAATGAAATAATGTGGATACAAACAGCATCTTGAGCTGGATATGGTGGCACATGCCTGTCATTCCAGCATGTGGGAGGCTGAGGCAGGAGGACTGCTCCACAAGTTCAAGGCCAGCTTGGGCTATATAGTGAGACCTTGTCTCAAAACAAAAACAAAAACACAAAAAAACACCATCTACCTCACAAGTTTGTGAACTTGATTCATCTCTTCCAGTGAATATCAGTGAATGTGGCACACACACACAAAAAGGACATTTCAAAATTGTGTTCTACATACTCAAGGATATTTTCCATCCATTACAAAGCAAAACAGGAGGGAAGGAAAAGAAAGACAGATGGGGTTGGGGATTTAGCTCAGCAGCATAAGCGCCTGGGTGAGGTTGAGTTCGATCCCTGGTGCCTAAAAAAACAAACAAACAAAAAAACAGAGAGAGAAGGAAGGAAGGAAAGAAAGAAAGAAAGAAAGAAAGAAAGAAAGAAAGAAAGAAAGAAAGAAAGAAAGAAAGAAAAGAAAGAAAGACGTTCTGGAAAACACAGAGAGGCAGGTGCCCCCGACAAGCACCTGGGCGTCTGTCCTCGTACTCAGTGATCAGCTATTTGATGCCTTGCACCGTCCGCCTCATTAACAGCTAAATCCTTCGAGGGTAGGGTGGTCCATCTTGCTTAATTTTCGTCCCCAGAGACCTGGAACAAAGCTGGCACACGCAGGCAGCTCATTAGAAGGTCGACGTGGGTGTGGAGAAAGAAGGCAGAGGCCGGGCCGGGGTTTTAGCTCAGGGGTGTAAGCCCCTGGCTGGCAAGTGCAAGGTCCTGAGTTTGATCCCTGGTACCGCAAAAAAAAAAAAGAAAAAGAAAAAGAAAAAAAGGCAGAGGCCAATGCGGCCGTGGGTTGCGTGTTTCCTTAGGATGTGCCCTGTCTCAGGCCCGGCTCGCCGCGAGCCCAGGTCGCCGCCGTTCGGCCGCATTGCCAGCAGATGGCGCTGCAGACCAGGTCCACGCGGCGCGCGGGAGCCCGGAACCCGGAAGCACCCGCGCGGCACACCCTGGGCTGGCGGGCCCAGGTCTCCGGAGGCCTGGTGGGGTGGTCAGGCCACCTCCTCCCGCAACCGAAGCTCCAGGGCCCTCTTCAGAAAGGGGCGCGGACGGGCGGCTGGAGGAGACCCCGCAGATGCCCACGTGACGGGCGCCCCGGCCCCACCCGGGCTGTCTCTGGCCTGCAGGAAGCATGGGCATGCTCAGGGCTGGATTGTGCCCTGGCCTCACCGAGGAGATGGTGCAGCTGCTGAGGAGCCACAGGATCAAGACAGGTGATCTCACTCGCAGGAGACCCACCCTCAGCCCCGGGGGAGGACGGGAGGACCCTTGCCGTGTCCTGAAGCTGTTTCACTCCGGCCATCTGCTTGGTGTGGAAAACCTGTTGCATGGAGAGGAAAAGCCGGTGTGGGAAGCTCAGGCCTTCCTCACTGCCCATCAGTGCCACGTGCTTCGTTTTCAGTGGTGGACCTGGCCTCAGCAGACCTGGAGGAGGTAGCCCAGAAGTGTGGCTTGTCTTACAAGGTGAGCTCATGGTCCTCACGCCCCATACCTGCCCATCTTCGGTGACCCTCCACAAAGCTACGAGAGTAGTCGGATTCCACAGGGGTGCAGGGGACCCTGGGCTGCCCTGGGAGACCCCTCAGAAGCTTGAGTGTCGCCCCTCTGGCAGGCCCTCGTTGCCCTGAAGCGGGTGCTGCTGGCTCAGTTCGCAGCTTTCCCCTTGAATGGCGCGGACCTCTATGAGGAACTGAAGACCTCGACTGCCATCCTGTCCACCGGCATTGGAAGGTTTGTATGTGTGCCTGGGGCAGAAGGCGAGGGTAGGGCTTCCCAGGCTTGGGTCCAGAGAGGTTAATGTGGATAGATGGGAAGGACAGGCGTCAGGACTTCAGAATTCTTTTGTAACAGGGTTATAGGGTTTCTGAGCCTCGGCCTTATCGATGCTTTGGGGTAGGTAATCATTTGTTGGGTGTGGGACAGTCTTGTGCATTGTGCAGGGTTCAGTAGCATCCCTAGATTCTTCCTCTGGATGCCATCAGCACCTGCCTTGTCCCCAGTGTGACATTTAGAAGTCTCCAGGATGGCTAAATGTCCTCCTGGAGCCAAAATTGCCCCTGGTAGAGAACCACAGCAGGTTGGAGTCCTTTGTGGCCCTACCTTCCATTTAACTTAGAGAAGGGCAAAAGAGCACAGGGCAGAGCTCTTACTTCTGTGTGGAAGCGCCTGAGTGGTAGGGGTGACAGGGGTATCTGATGCAGAACCAGTGCTTTCCAGTGCCCAGCGGTGGTAAGGACCAAGCAGTCACGCTGAAAGAAGCTGTTACATTGTGCCATAGTGTTTGGGCTGGGAGAGAGCTGGAAGACAACGGCTGTTTTCTGGCCAAGTGAGTCTGACCTCTCTTGGCATGTTTGTGCAGAGTTTGATGAATAACTGCCACAACAGAGGTCTTTGGATTGATCTGGCCCTTACTATTCCCATAACACGTTCTCTTGGCGATGTTCATACAGTGTGGTGCTTGCTCTGGATGGTCAGAGCCCCAGGGTGTAATCCATCGAGCCCTGGCTGAATGCATACTGGGTGGTCTGTGTGAGGTTTGTTCCACAAGTTACGCTGAGAGCCTAATGGGTGCCAGACATGCGCAGGTGATACAGACAGGACTGACACAAGGGCCCTGCTCTTGAGAAGCAGGGCAGCTAGCAGGTGTAGGAGAAAAGCTGGAAATCCAAGAGGCTAAGCTCACAGAGGCTGCGGGAAGGAGGGAGGGGCGGACAGGAAGCAGAATGGTCTTTGGGGTTAAGCACCTGATAAAACCAACATAGGCAGAGGGACCAGTCAGTGGTGAGCTGGCAGGGTGCAGGTACAGGCCTGAGTGGTTCAGGAAGCCCTAGAGGAAGGTGGTGGGCTTTGCCATGGAGGGACAGATGAGTGTCACGAGACATTATGTCACTGGTTCTTCACAAGTACTGGCGAGTGAGTATATGGCCATTAAAATCATCTCTCTGCGGATGAAGAAGTTGGGACCTCGGTTAAAGGACTTGCCCGAGATCCTGCAGCTTGTCATGGCACACCAGGTGCTTGAGAAGGTGACTCTGCCTTGTCTGCTGCGGTATCTCCCTCCCTCAAGTGGAAGGTGGTTAGCAAGACAGAGTTAGAGGCAGCTGCACCTCCACCCTATTGATTTATTTGGACATAGTCTTGCTAAATTGCTCAGATTGGCCGTCAGCTTGTGATTGATCCTCCTGCCTCAGCCTCCCTAGTAGCTGCAATAATAGGCATTGGCCATTGCATCTAGATTGTAGTTGATTCTTGACTATAGTCAAGAGCCAGTGATTTACCTCTGGCTGCACATTAGAATTATCTGGGAAACTTCTACAAATTTTAATTTGATAGGGTTAGGGCACTGGTTCCCAAATTTATGTGGGTGTTAGAATTACCTGGGAAACAAGCATTCCAAGCCTCTCCAGACCAGCAGCATTCTGTGAAAATGGGGCACAGATATTGGTGTTTTTTGAACATCCCAGATGTCTCTGGTATACAGTTTAGAAATTTCTGATATAGGAATCTTTATTTCTTTAATTGTTGTTACTGGTGCTGTTTGAGGCAGTGTCTTGCCTTGTAGTTCAGCATGGTCTTCAACTCACTGTGTACCCCAGGCTGACCTTAAATTTGTGGAGCTCTTCCTGCCTCAGACTCCTGAGTTCTGGGATTATAGGCATGCATTTACCATGCCTGGCTTTAATATAGGAACCTCTTAGTGGGATGTGGTGGTACACACTGGTAATCCTAGCATTTGGGAGGCTGCAGGAGGAACTCTACAAATTTGAGACCAGTCTGGGCTCCTTAGCAGGTTCAAAGCCACCCTGGGCTATGTAGTGAGATCCTGTCTCCAAAAAACCAAGAAATAAACAAAAAAAGCTCATGGAAGCCAGGTGCAGTGGTATACACCTCTCTACAGTCCCAGCTACTTAGGAAGCTGAAACAACAGGATCTTTGAACCCAAGCATTTTGACACTAGTTTAGGGCAACACAGCAAGACCCATTTCAAAAGTAAGACAAAACAAAACAAAAACAAAAACAAAGAGCTTCCCCTGTAATGTTGTAGGCAAGATTGAGAACGGCAGGCCTAGTGGTTCTCAAATGTAAGTGTATGCCAGAATCACCCGGAGCTCTTGCTAACCCCAGCTGTGAGCTGCACTCCTAGAAGTTTTGATCCAGCCAGTCTTGTGGAGGAGCGCTGAGAGTGCATTTCTAACCTGGGCCCTGTGCTGGCGAGGCACCTGGGCTGCTGACCACACTGGAGCTCCACTTTGCAAAAGCCGCTGGGCCTTTCTGGGTTCCGTGAGAAGAAGGGGCCCCGCAGGGCAGAGGCTGGACACCCTTTGGAGAATGCTTTTAAATAGGGGCCAGGTGAGCAGAATCATCTCTAGCAGCAACAGGGCCTGGGTGGAGACTGGAACCTCTCTGACTGGCAGAAACCTGCAGTTCCCATAGCTGATGTCACTGGGGTGACTGCGTAGAGCACTGTTCCCGTATTTAGATGTGTCTCGAGCCCATGAGCTGTTGCAGAGACCTGGAGTCTGCGAAGGCCACTGCATATCCAGAAAGAAGCGGACCAGGAGGAATCTCCTGGCTGGGGATGTCTGGGGTGTCTCTGTGCCTGGAAGGCAGGTTGTCTTTCTTCTCCTCTCTCTTCCTCCTAACCTGGTTTGTTCTCTTTTCCCTTCTGCCGCCAGCCTGGATAAACTGCTGGATGCTGGTCTCTATACTGGAGAAGTGACCGAAATTGTCGGAGGTCCAGGTAGCGGCAAAACCCAGGTACACATGAGGCCAGCAGTGAGAGGGGTGCGTCCTGGGGTCCCAGCAGGAGCTTCTGACAGACTGGTCGTGGGGCCGGGGTCAGAGGAGACAGGCGGGTGATGAGAAGTGGGCCTGGCCTTGGCGTGTTTGTGCCCCTGGAATCTGATGTGCGGGGGCCTTCAAAGGCCAGGCCCTCCTCTCTCAGGCTGGTTCCCCCAGCGGCCATCCCTCCTCAGGTGTGTCTCTGCGTGGCTGCGCATGTGGCCCACAGCCTGCACCAGAATGTCCTGTACATTGACTCCAATGGAGGGCTGACGGCCTCGCGCCTCCTCCAGCTGCTGCAGTGCAGAACCCGGGATGAGGAGGAACAGGTAAGGGCTGGGCCGGCCAGGTTCCTTTGAGATTCTCACTCCAGAATCCCTCGTTGTCCCTTATGCTGCTGTAATTTGGGTTCTTTGGTGACTTGTTTTGTGCTATGAAAGCTGGGGTCCTGTTGATGCTTCTTGTGGCTCCGTAGCCTCCCCTGGGAACGCCACCCACCCCGTTCTTCACCCACCCCACTCCCCACACACCCATAACTGTGCAGGAGCACCTCTGGCATCTGCAATCCAGCCCAGTTGCTGCTCATGGCATACATCACTGATCAGTTGTGTCTATCTTTCCTGCTCAGTTGTGGGGGTTTTATGGTTGAGCACCCCGACAGCTGCCACTCACAGATGTGCTCCGTTAGACAAAACCCAAACCCATGTGCCTTTCTTGACACGAGTGCTAGCTCTGAGTGCACCCTCCTGTTCTCCACCTTGTAATCCCTGCCCTACTCCCCCAGCTTCTTACCCCAGGCCTCTACGTGTCTTCCCTCCTGCAGGCAGGAGCTCTCCGGAGGATCCAGGTAGCACATGCATTTGACATCTTCCAGATGCTGGACCGACTGCATGACCTCCGAGGCGCTGTGGCCCAGCAGGTCGGCCTCCTCTTCTGCCCCTCCTTACTCTGCCCAGCTTGCCAGGTGCTGCCCGATGCAGGCAGGTGCCTCCACAGAGCCTGCTCCAGAGTGCAGATGTGCAGTCTGGTGACTCCAGCTGTGCTTGCAACTCGCAAAGTGGAATTCTGTAGTGCTTAATCCACTTGCTGCATTATTTACATATTCATCATCCTGGCTGAATAGTTATTTATTTTATTTAATTATTTTTGTGTGGAGAATCGAACTCAGAACTTTGAGCTTGCCAGGCAGGTGCTGCGCCACTGAGCTATATCCCTGGCCTGTCCCTGCTGAATAGTGAGTGAAGGTGATGTTAATATGTTAATTTCCTATTCCTCACTAGAGTCAGGCAGGGATGCTTTCAGCTGCAAGAATCCAAGTTGGCTGAGGAGCCTTGAGCGTTAAGAGTGTCTCATTGTCTCATGTGAATCTGGAGTTGGGTGTGATAATGGCACTCTAGGTTTTGTACTTCATTTTCTCATTCTCTTCCTCATGACTGCAAAGTGACTGTCATGGCTCCAAGCATCTTCGTGCATCCACATCTTGATTCAGGCCAGTAAGGGACAAATATTCTTTTTGCTCCTCTTTCCTTTATAATTTATTTTATCCTGTGGTCCTAGGGTTTGAATCCAGGCCCTTTCCTCTGAACTATATCACTACATCCTCTTTTTTTTGAAACAGGGTCTCACTGTGTCTTGAACTCACTATGTAGCCCAGGCTGGCCTCAAACTCATAGTAATCCTTCTGCCTCAGCCTCCCGATTGTGGGATTATAGGTGTGTGCCACTGTGCTAGGCTACCTCTTCCCTTTTATCAAAGGAGAAAATCCTTTCTCTTGGTCCCACAGTAAGCCTCCTCCTTTTCTCACAGCTGATTGGCCAGGTCTGGTTTTTGCTTTGGGAAATATTTGTTTGTTTGCTTATTTGTTCATAGTGAAGAGATTAAAGGCCTCATGCAGCTTAGGCAGGTGCTCTATCACCTGGCCACGCCCTTAGCCCTACTTTTCCAAAACTGAGTTAGCCGTGTATCTTGGCTCAGGGCTGGGCCCACCTTCTCTGAAGCCAGGAGATTTTTACCCAGGACCCAAACATGCTCGGAGTCATGTTAACAAAGAATGAGGGGATAATTTGAAAGGTAACACTTTGATGGGATTTGATGCACTGATTAATTACAGACTGTTAGACCGGAGAGATACCTGAGAGAACGGTTTAGTTTATCTCAAACTGTTTGCATCTCCCTAAGAGAGACTAGTTCCATAGGCATACAGGGGGTTGTAGGCAAAGTAAACTGAGTTCTGCAAGCTTTAGAACATAGACTGGTTGAATGAATACTTGCTCCAGGAGTCGGAGCTGGGCAGGACTCACCAGTGTGTTGAGGAGTGAAGTCTCAACCCTCCACAGGTAGAGTGAACCCAGCCCTCTCATATTTAGAGAGGAGAGAAGGCCAGAGAAGTTAAATGTGTGGTCAAAGGCACCACATATTTACAACAGGCACTAATGTAGAGCTTCCACCTCAGCCAGGCGTGGTGGCACACACTTGCAATCTCAGCACTGTAGGAGGCTGAAGCAGGAGGACCGTAAGTTCAAACCCAGGCTAGGCAATTTAGCAATTTAGACCCTGTGTCAAAATTTAAGAAACCGGCCGGGAGTATAGCTCACTGTGAAAGCCCTAGGTTCAATCTCCAGTACAGAGAAAACAACCACCACCAACAAAAACACTCACGTCTCTCTCAGTTGGGCACGGCGGTGAATGCCTATAATCCCAGCTACTTGGGAGGCTGAGGCAGGAGGATCCCAAGTATGAGGCCAGCCTGGGTAACTCGGCAAGTTCAAGACCAGGCTGGACTACATAGCAAGGCCCTGTCTCCAAATTTATTTTTTATTTATTTATTTTTTTGTCTTTTTCCTTTTTATCGGTACCAGGGATCGAACTCAAGACTGCCTGCTTTCAAGGCAGGCGCTTATGCCGCTGAGCTAAACCCCCAGCCCCTTGTCTCCAAATTTAAAAAACAAAAACAAAAATAACATTTATTGTCTCCTAGGCTCCATGACCACGAATCTGGGTCTGCTTAGTTGGGTCCTGTGGTAGCTTTTCTGGGCTGTAATCTAGGGTTAGGGCTACTGTGCCTAATCAAGAGGGCAAAGGAATGGGGGAGTGGCTCTCTGGTAGTATGTGTAAGGCCCTAGGTTTGAGCCCCAATTCCAAAAAACAGGAATTCCATAATGTTCCATGTGTGTATTATACTTTGCACTGAGCTACATCCTCCGCCCTTTTTTTATTTTTTATTTTTGAGTTGAGGGTCTTGCTAAGTGTTGCCCAAGTTGATTTTGAACTCAAGATCCTCTTGCCTCCACCTCCCTAATGCTGGCATTATGGTGAGCAGCCTTGCGCCCACCAGCCTTTGACATCATAATGGTCAGCAGCAGGACAGAGGTCTCAACAGCGCTTGAGGGGAAGGGGGATTCTAAATGACCTGAATTCCTGAAGTTTGCCATCACAGTGGCCACAGATGACCTACAGCATCATAAGCAGAGCAGCAAAGATCGTGCTGTTCCATTTAGCTAGATGGATGTCTGAGGTCTAAACCGGTTTGGGCAGTAGCTTCTCCCTCCTTTGCCATCCTCTCTAGACTAGCTGGTAACTAGCTAAGAGCTGGTGGTTGGCAGATGAAGGAGGTATATAAAAAACAGCACGTAATGCCAGATAGGCAAGAGGTGGCCAGTGGACATAGGAAACGTGTGTGTAGAAACAGTGTCAGGATTCAAGAAGATAGAAAGCCCCTCTGGATCTTGTCAAGGTCCAGAGAAACCACATATGTAATCCCATGGAAAAGTTACTGGAATTCTAATAATTTAATTCCAATCTACCATTTCTAGTGCAATGCCTGGTGAGCATAAAGGCCTATTTCTAGTTTTGGGGAGCCAAGGAGGTCCTAAGACCAGGTAGAACAATGGCTAACTGGAACAAAGGGCTTCACCCCAGGTGCGAACCCGAATTTTATTGATTCATGGAGAGGAGAGTAACTCAGGGACAAGTGACTGTGAGAGTGGTGAGTGCTGTGAGCTGGGCGGGGTAGGAGGCCTGAGATCACTCTGCAGTGTACGGAGAGAAGGGCATGCAGAAAGAGTGTCTGCATATCACAGCTTGGAGCAGTATCTGGTGTTTAGCAGTATGTAGTTTTTGTGTGCAGTTTTGCAAGCCCTGAGAAGCCATAGCTGATAGAATTTTCGGCATGGCTAAAATGATAAGAAGTATGAAATAAAAGTGGCCTTTATTTTAAGAATGTGGAGAGAGACTCCATGACCTCCGGGGTCTGACATTCTCTCTGTCCGACACGTGGTGTGGGGGCATACATATAGTTTAGGTTTGGGGTGGTGCCTAAGGGGCATTACTGATGCACAGGTAGCCCATTGGAATTTTTTTTTTTAATCGGTACCGGGGATCGAACTCAACTGCCTGCTTGCAAGGCAGGTACTCTTGCTGCTGAGCTAAATCCCCAGCCCTCTAGCCCATTGGAATTTATTTCCCACCACAGGTAAATTGCTTAGGGGCGGGGAAGATGACCTCAAGATAGAGCCCCTTGGTTCTACCTCCCAGCCTCCCACTACGCAGCTTCCCATGAAGGGCACAAAATCCTTTCAATAGCCTCTTCTCATTGAACAGCGCTGTGACATTTGGCTTAGATCACAGGTGTTGTTTGGAACTGCAGGCGGGCAGGGCTTCACTGCTCAGTCCCAGAGTTTTAACAACTGCATATACAACAGCACCTGGCCAGAGCCGTTTGCATTGCTTAAAGCCAATTGAGGGAATAAAGGCAAAACTTAGCCAGCTCTGAACATATCAATACATTGAAATAGGGCCAGATTTAGCCAAAGTGGAGACGATTGCTCTTTTCTCATGGAGAGTTAGTTTTTCAGGTGGTCTCCACACAAGAAGTAAAAAAGGAGGAGGAAGAGCTGGGGAAAACCAGGTGTTGATGGCACATGCCTTAATCCTAGCGCTGTGGAAGTTGAGGAAGGAGGATCTCAGTGAGCTTGAGACCAGCCTGGATTGTATAGCAAGACCCTGTCTCAAAACACAAAACAAAACAGAACCCACCAAAAGCATGGAACACAGTTTGTTCCCAGAGAAACTAAGAGGGTGCTAATGTGTTTGTTAGAATGCTTTAGCTGTGGGAGACAGTCCTACAGGTGTGAGCTAAAGGACAGTGAAGACAGTGCTGCAAAGGAAGTTAGGAATTTGGGGTGGAAGTAAGCAGGGAAGTGAGTGGGAGGGAGGGAGCAGGTCAGAAAAAGAGCAGGGTCCAATGTCCCTGGTAGGAAGCTGGAGCTGGCTTCAGGCCTCTGGATGGAGTGTTTGTGCTGTCCTGTGGGTTTTACCCTCTCTGATGTCCCAAGTCTTCAGTGTGCGTTACCTATATAGATGGGGAGGGGGGCGAGGGGGTGTTGCATAGCTGTGGTGCCTTTGCAGCTGTCTTTGGAATGGGAAGGTTGTTTCTTTTTTTTCTTTTTGGTTTTTTAAGACAGGGTCTTGTAGTTCAGCCTGAACTTAAACTCACTGTGTAGCCCAGGGTGGCCTCAAACTCAAGGCAATCCCCCTGCCTCAACATCCTGAGTGCTGGGATTACAGGCGTGTGCCACCATGCCTGGCTGGCAGATTGCTTCTGACAGGTACAAGTTTGCCTTGTCATGGGTGCACACCCTTGGGGCCCTGGCCCATGGTACCTGTTCCCCTGTTCCTGCAGGTGAGCGGTTCTTCAGGGACTGTGAAAGTGGTGATTGTGGACTCAGTCACTGCTGTTGTCTCCCCACTTCTGGGAGGTCAGCAGCGAGAAGGTGAGTGGCGTGGCAGAGCCTGTGGGCAGGGCACAGACTTACTGCCAGCCCTGTTCATGGTCCACTCTGCCCTCCCTGCCTGCTGCTCCTCCCCCAGGCTTGGCTTTGATGATGCAGCTGGCCAGAGAGCTGAAGACCCTGGCCCGGGACCTCGGCATTGCAGTGATGGTAAGGAACAGACTTGTTCTGCCAACCCGATTTCTACCCACAGCCAGCGCTTCCGTTCCCTTACATGGCAGCTCTGGTCCCACAGTGGCCAGCCCTGTAGGAAAGGACAGAGCCCAGCTTCTCTGGGGAGGCGGGAGCTCTGACTGTGAAGGAGGGAATTGGATCCTAAGTAGCCCAGGGGACCAGGGGTCCTTTTTTCTGTCTCTTCTTCCCCTGACCCTCTCTCCTTCTGGGATTGAACCAGGGTCTTCACACTGAGTTACATCTCCCTTCATTTTATTTTTTGAGACAAAGTCTTGCTAAATTGCCCATGCTGGACTTGATTTTGGAATGTTTCTGCCTCAGCCTTCCAGATTGCTGGGATTACTGGTGTGCCCCACCTCACCTAGCCGCCGCAGTAGCTGCTGCTGCTTTCTGTTTCCTGTTTAAATCAGACGCATGGAGGTATAATTTACTTACATAAAGCAGTGTTCGCCTGGTTTGAAGGTTAACTGCTGGACATAGTTGTATCCGTCTTATTATCCTCCCAAAAGGTCCCAGGCAAGCCCTGATCTGTTTTCTACAGTTTTGCCATTTCCAGAGCTTCCTAGAAATGGGTCATTTTGTGTGTAAAGTAACCTTCTGCTTGTGAAACAGGTTTTATTTTGCTAATTTTTGTTTTTGTGGTACTGAGGATTGAACCCAGGGCCTCACACGTGCTAGGCAAGCGCTTTACCACTGAACTGTGCCCCCCAGCCAGGAAGCAGTTATTTAGAAGTTTAAGTGCTTCTCCTGGAAATAGTTTAAAAAAAAAAAAAAAAAAAAAAAAAAGCCAGGCGTGGTGGTGCACGTCTATAATCCCAGCACTCAGGAGGCTGGGGCAGGAGGTTCACTGGGAGTTCCAGGCCAGCCTGGGCTACAAAGTGAATTCAAGGCCAGCTTGAACTGCATAGTGAAACTGTGTCTCAAAAGACAAAAATAAATAACTTTTTTTAAAAAAGGTTAAATATAGGGGCTCGGGGTTTAGCTCAGCGGCATAAGCGCCTGTCTTGCAAGCAGGCAGTCGTGAATTCGATCCCTGGTACCAATAAAAAGGAAAAAGACAAAAAAAAAAAAAAAAGGTTAAATATAAGATTCCAACATGATCAATCTCCATCTTCACAAAACTGTATTAATATTTTATCCCTGTGAAATCTTTTTTCTCTCCATATATCCTGATACTTTGAACCAATTTTCCAACTAAATTAACTTTGTAAAAAAGCACAAAAATTAATTTAACATCTCAGTCCATCTCCCGTGTCCTTACAGAGATTCTTGAGGACCCATTTTAGCCACATTTTGTTTGTTTTGAGACTGTCTTGCTACATTCCCCAGGCCAGCCTCAAACTTTTGATCCGTTAATAGCTACGTATTTTTCCAAGTTTTTTTTTTATTATGGTGAAGTATACATAGAATTTATTGTATTAAGCATTTTAAAGTACACAGTTTAGTGCTATTAAATACATACAGTGGCTAGGTGTGGTGGTGCCTATCTGTCATCGTAGTACTTGAGATCCTCTGATCCCAAATACAGGAGGATTGTAAATTTGAGCTCACCCTGGGCAATTTAGCAAGACCCTGTTTTAAAATAAAAAAGGACTGGGGCCATAGCTCAGTGTGAAAGCTCTGGGATCAGTCCCAGTACAATTATACACATGCGCACACACAGACACACATACATACATACATGTATGTATTAAATACTATATATCTCTATAGTTTTTTTTTTTTTTTTGGTACCAGGGATTGAATTCAGGACCTCATGCTTTCCAGGCAAGTCACTGAACTAAATTCCCGGCCCACTTTTATTTCTTTTGAGATAGGGTCTCACTTTATAGTTCTGGTTGGCCTTAAACTCTCTGTAGCATAGGCTGACTTCAAACTCATTGAGATCCTCCTGCCTTAGTCTTCTGAGTACTGGGATTATAGCCATGTGCCACCACACTCGGCTGTCTGTAATTCTTGTAAGACTGGAACTGTGTGCCCAATAAAAAATAATGGGTGTGGTGATTGTTTTCCACTGTTTCTGTTTAGCCACATATATTGTTCAATGTCTGTATCCCAAGGATCAGCAAACTTTTTCCATAGAAGGCCAGATAATAAATATTGGAGGCTTTACAGCTACGTGGTCTGTATCACAACTTCCCAGCTCCCCCAGTATGAGACAAAACCAGCCAATGATGAACATAAACAAATGGCTACGCTGTGTTCCGCTAAAACTTGATTTACTGTCCAGGCATGGTGATGCATACCTGTATGTCCACATACTTGGGAGGCTGAGGCAGGAGCAATGCAAATTCAAGGGCTGTATAGCAAGACGTTTTCTCACAGTGAAATGAAAAAAGGCTGGCAGTGTAGCTCAGCTCCCTCTGGGTTTAATGTGTAGCACAAAAAACCCACAAAACTTTCAGCAGGCTGAGGCCCCAGGACTGCTGTGAGGTTAAGGCCAGCCTGAGCTGCATGAGAGCCTGTCTCAAACACAAAACAAAACTTCATTTACCAAGACAATTTTTGAGCCAAATTTAGCCTGTGAGCCACGATTTGCCCATCTTGCTATGCCGTAATGACTTATCCAAATCTTGCTCATTGGATCTTAACATTATTGCAGGTTTTTCTCTTTATAAATAAAACTGCCTAAATCGCCATGTATCTTATCTGATTTCTTCCTAAGTGTGTATTTACTAAATCAGGCATACATGCATTTTGATATTTGTTTTTTGAGATGGACGGCTCACTATGTGGCCCACATTGACTTTAAACTCCAAAATTCAATTGATGCCCCTGTGCCAGCCTCCCAGGTAGCTGGGACCACAGGTGTGTGCTGTCCCATCCAGCTGTGTTTTCTTTTCAGTGTAGAGCTAGTACATGGCTGTAGTTTGAAGAAGCTCATACCAGTTGTATAGCCACTGGCAGAGTAAAAGAACCTGTTTCTTTATTCTGCTGTTTGAATACAAGGTCCCAGCACCTTCCTCTCCTGGTTCTGGGATATTTGTGCTGAAACTGGGTGCTATCATAGTCCTCACGCTTCAGGGCCTCCTGACAGACGCATACCTCCATGCCAGCCTGGGCAGGGGAGCACCAGCCTCCAAAGAGGACTCCTCTTCTGAAACACTTCTTACTCCCACACACAGATGCACTCCCAGACTCAGAGGCCTGGGTAGACATGGTCCTGGGTGGTTACATCCTCTGTTGGAGCTGGGATATAATAAGTGCAAACCCTCCACTGCTTCCCTTGATGAAACTGCAAATAGGACTGCTGTTCCCCTGGCAAGCACCCCATTGCCTTCTAGTTGTGACCTGAGGCACTGAAGTTTGGTGGAAAGAGCTGTCTGCAGGTTGGGATCCCCAGGATCTAGTTCCAGGCCTGCTGCTAAGTTGTAGAGCCTTGGGAGAGTAATTTCTCCACACTACTCTTCCCTTTCCCCATCTATAGGATGAAACCACAGGAGCAGATGTCCTATGTACTAGCATTATGCATCTGTAAACCTTTCTGCAGGTGACCAACCACATAACCCGAGACAGGGACAGTGGGAGGCTCAAACCTGCTCTCGGACGCTCCTGGAGCTTCGTGCCCAGCACCCGGGTTCTCCTGGACAGCATTGAGGGAGCAGGCACAGCAGGCCGGAGCCAGCGCATGGCATGTCTGACCAAGTCACCCCGTCAGGTGAGCAGCCCTGGCAAGGCATCAGGGGTCTTGGGCACTGGAGGGTGGGTTCCATGCCCCAGGTGTCTAGTTACTAGAGAATTCCTTAGTTCAGGTATAGTGGTGCAGTCCTGTGAGTCCAGCATTTGGGAGGCTCAGGCAAGAGGATTACTGCAAGTTCAAGGGCAGACTGGGCTACATAGTGAGTGCAAAGCCTGCTCAAAAAACAAAACAAACGAAAAAAGGATTCTTTGATGCTGAAACTCTGTGACACAAGATTACCTCTTTGGGTTGCTTCCATCAATTCATCCTTTCCTTCCATCTCTTCTTCTAGCCAACAGGGCTGCAGGAGGTGGTAGACATCAGGACCTGGGGGACTTCAGAGCAGGGCGCTGCCTTACAGGAAGAGCAGACATGACTGGTGTCGGTGATTGGGGAGTAGGGAAGCGTGGAATGACGGACCGCTCACTGCCACCCAGTGCCTGGGACTGCGGGAGTTCACAGGCTGCCCAGGGGTCCCATCACCACGGAAGCACACTGAGCAGTGGACCAGAGAATGCTGCAGTGGGAGGCCCAGAATTCCAAGCTGCTATCAAGTCCCTTCCTTCAGGCCTACAGTTTGCAGAGGGAGTCAAATTCACCCTGGCAGGGGGCATCTCTGAAGAGGCCAAGCTAGTGACTGGGTGAATAGTCCCAGGTGCCACCGTCAGAGCCTGTGCTTAGGCCTTGCACTGGGCTTAACCCACAAAGCCATGAGGTTGCCTTTGCTTCCCTCCTGTCTTTTCTCTCCCCTCTCCCCTCCCTGCTCTCACCCCTCTCCCTTCTCTCCTCTTCCCATCTCTTTCTCTGTGTTTGCCTGTTTTTGTTTTGGGGATTCCCTTTCCCTCACCTCTGCCTCTGAGTTACTGAGTGGAAAACCTCATAAATGCAAAATGCTTCTTCATCTGTTCTGCTCTTAACAAAATATAAAAAAGAAATTCCTGGAGCCCCAGAGCCATATGATTTTCCCCCCTAGAAGGTTGTTTTTCCTTTTCCCCAGTGAGCCCCCCAAACAAAGACTGGTATTCCTTTATTCTTTTTGATTCCACTTCCCACACCTGCATGCGTCATCATGACTAGGTGAGACTGTGGGCTTGATGCTGTCCCAGGGGTATAATTTGACAGGAAGGAAGGATGTGACCTGCTCCTACTGAATCCAGCCACTTGTTTAATGTGCCTGATGCCCTGTAGGGCCCTTCCACAGCACAGAGTAACCAGAGGTGCGGAACCATGGCCTTGCCCGTAAACAGACAGGAGAATTTGCACAATAAATAGAGCCAGCTGGGAAAATTGATGCTGGCGTAAATAATACATGGCAAATGTAGTCTTTTATGTAGAAATTCATTGCTGGTAGCTCTGAGATGCAGTATAATTACATCTCTCTTCCTGCCAGCTGTACCACTGCCTTGTGCCTTAGTGTATAAAATAACCCCCTTGTCTGTTACCAACACTGTGACCATCCGTAACCCTAGCTGGTAGGGGAAGATGACATTAGGGAATAGAAAATAAAAGTAAAGAAAAATGATCAGGGTTATTTACTGACCACTGTATACTTGTTTGGAGTTTTTGGTTTGGCTTTTTTTGCTTTCATTGTGGCAATAGTGGGGGTGGAACTTGGATCTGTAGTGTGCTAGGCAATGGTCCACCACTGAGCTATGTGCCCAATCCAGGGCTGCATTTTTTAAAGGGAAACTCTCCTTGGTTCAGGAGGGTATTGTATAATTAGTTGTGTCTTAGCTGAGGAAAAGGGGTCAGAGATATACTTAACCCAGTGCGGCATTTGTGGGCGATGGATGCAGCAGAGCTGGAAGTGGGGTGCAGGGTGGGGAATGAATGGCAGACTGGTTCAAGGTATCTGAGAGTGCATGGGGCTGGTGACTGAACCCTGGTACTTGGTTTCACAGGAGAAGTCCATCTTCAGCATCTGTGTCATGTACAGCTGGCATATTCCTGCAGCCAGAGTAAGAAGCATTTCTTTGAGCTAGGAACAGCGAATCCCTACCACACATGGTACCACATGGGCATCCTGAGCCCAAAGCAGATACCATCAGTCAGTCTTAAAATTTTTTTTTTCTTTTTTGCAAAGTTCAAAGTATTTTAGAGTTTTTCTTAATGCAGTTCTCTAGGTCGTCACTACCAGTGAGTTGGAGTTGGCATTCAAGATGAACCTGTTGTGCCCCAATGCCCTGGGCTGACCTGTCCAGCTTCCTGTGTGCAGGGAGTCCAGGCACTTCATACCTGAGCAAGCATCCTCCAACAGTGTAGTTCAGAAAAGGTCATCTGGCTAGCTTGTCATTTAAGAAAGTGTGAGACTCAGTGGAAAAGTGACAGTCCCAGTGGCAGAATGGGGACTACTGGGAGTTCTCTCCCCACTTTGCCTGTAATTTCCCATCCACCAGCTCTATGCCTGCTGGGACACAGCATATGACCAAAGGCACACAGTCCTTCCCTAGTGATTTCTGGGAAGGTGCCCATCACCCCTGCTCCTGGGATTCCTGCAGTTCTCTGACAGCTTGCTTTGTCCTTGGGACCCTGCTCCTACACCAGGGCTTCTGTCTGCAGACGGCTGCTGTACTCCCTTCTGGCCTTCTGCCCAGTGTGGTCCCTCGGGTGGGCTCTCCTGCTCAGGGGCCTTTTGCTCCTTAGCTGATGTGTATCCCCGTCTACCTCCACTGTGTCTGCTGCATGCCCACTCTGACATCCTGCCTTGTTTTACTTAATTTAATTTTTGTCTTTTTTTTTTTTTTTTTTTGTCTTTTTCATTTTTATCGATACCAGGGATCGAACTCACGACCGCCTGCTTGCAAGGCAGGTGCTTATGCCGCTGAGCTAAACCCCCAGCCCCTAATTTTTGTCTTTTTGAGATAGGATCTCTCCATGCAGTTCAGGCTGACCTTGAGTTCACTTTGCAGCCCAGGCTAGTCTCAAACTTGAAATGATCCTCCTGCTTCAGCCTGCCAAGTGCTGAGATTACAGTCGTGCACCACCACACCTAGCTCATCCTGCCTTTTCTGTGCCTTGACTGTGGTGTAAATGGATGTTTGTGACTCCTCTGTGCTACTCATTTTGCCTGTGAACCCCAGGCCTGCTTCAGGAGCTCCTAGGTCCATTTTTTTCCCTTATTCTTTCTACATTGTGAGAATTTACTAATGAGTAGGCTTTACTGCATTTTAAAGATGATAAAAGAGAGGACTGCAGCATGTTTTCCTCTTTAGATTGTCATTGAGTCCCCAGAACCTCTACTTTTTTTTTTTTTCATACTGGTGATTAAACTCAGTATCTTTATACTGAGCTGTCCCTACCCTTTTCTTTTAATTTTGAGATACTCTTGCTAAGTCACTGTTGCCCAGGGTGAGCTTGAATTTGAGATCCCCCTGCCGCGGCCTCCCAGCATGCTGGGATTACAGGTATGTACCACCATGCTTAACTATGTCTTTCTACAAATTGTATTTGCTTTTTTGGAAATTAGACAAAATGTTAGGTCCCTACTATGTGCTAACATTTGATGCCTGTAGTCAGGTACTTGAGCGCCCAAATACTGTCAGGCAAAAGATCCATGGGTTAGCTGGGCATGGTGATGCACAATTGTAATCTCAGCACTAGGGAGGCTGAGGCAAGATGATGGCTGCGAGTTCAAGGCCAGCCTGAACTACAGAGCTACAGAGAGAGACCCTGCCCTGCCCCGCCACCCAAATCCATGTGTTATTGAGGCTGCTTTGTACTCCAAGTAACAAAATCTGGCTTAAAGATGCATCATTAATAAAGGTACCCTCATCTGTCAAATCTAACATTAGTTAATCTGGTGGCTTACTGTTGAGTACGACTGGGCTTTTCTATGTTTCTTCTCTCTTTTATTGGTTTTTGTCCTCAAACTCAATGCTATCATCAAAACTTGGCCACAGCCACGTTGGGCATCTATCCAGACATTCAAGATCTACAAGCAGGAAAGGGATCAACAACTACTTGTATCCTTCGAAGAATAAGGAACATGCTGAACTTTCTTCTAACAGCTGTCTCGCTTTATAGCTTCCTGGTGTAGAATTGCTTGTGGCACCCCAGTTGAATTCAGTAACCAGGAAAGGAAATGGAACCACTGCGAGTGGCTCAGTCCAGCCAAGGCTGGGAGTAGGTTTTCCTGAAGCGCACACTGGCCATACTAGCAGGGAGAGAGTGTGAAGAAATCAGATGTTGGGTGGTCTGATGGCCTGGATGTGCGGGATTTGGTTGCAGATCTTACTAGGTTTTTGCTGGGTCTTGGCACGGAGTTGTCTGGGTAGAGTTTCAGCTGTCTAGTTCTGCATGTTGGAGATGCTGTCTGGAGGAAGCCCTGCAATGCACAGAGCTGGGTGTATGTGTGTATAATTTCTGAATTTTTCTTTCTTTTTAAGGCCAAATATATTAGTAATCAAAGGTTACTCTGAGTACTGGGATTGTAGCTCAGTGGTAGGGTGTTTGCCTCGCGTGCATTGAGGCCTTGGGTTCAATTATCCATGCCACAGAAAAACAAAAGTGAAAATAAAGTTACCCTGAATGTTTTTCCTCATTTTCTCTTGTCTGATTGCACTGGTTAGACTAACTTCAGAACTATGTCAAGAAGAAGCAACAGTAGCTACCATCTGGGTCTTGTTCCTGATATCAGTAGGCTGCTTCAGTGTTTCATCGTGGAGTTAGATACCGTAGGTTCTGTGCAGTTACCTTTTATCAAGGTAAATACCTCATGACTGTAGTCTTGGAAGGTTCTGGGAACTGGCCATCATGTTTGCCAAGCAGAGTTGTCTCTTGCAGCCCATGGCACATCCTCAAGCCTTCAAGCCTCACAACTGTGCTTCTGCTCTGCATTCATCACTTTCTTGAGCAGCTTCCAGCCCTGTTCTCTGGCCTCTCCCTAGTTTTGCAGCATAGTGGCCTCAATTTATGTTTTGCCAAGAGACAGTAGGCCTATGCCTAAAAGGATTCAAAGTCAAGAAATAGGATTTACTTTTTGTCAGTACTGGAGATTGAACCCAGGGATACACTACCACTGAACCATATTCCAGCTCTTTTATTTTTTTAACTTACATACAGGGTCTCACTAAGTTGCCTAAGCTGGCCTTAACCTTATGATCCTCCTGGCTCAGCCTCCTGAGTAGCTAGGATTACAGGTATATACTACCATACCCAGTAAGGAACAGCATTTTTAACACCTCAACTAACTTGATCTTAGCTGATATTTACTTGCTTTAGACACTGAATGATAACTTCACCTCTTTAAGCCTTAGTTTCATCCACTGTAAAATGGGAAAATAATACCTACTTCATAGATTCATTTCAAGGTCACAACTTAAGGTGAGGCAGCAGGCAGGTAACCTCGTATCAGTGAGATGCTTCTGATGCCTGGGAGCTGCTAGTGAGAGCCTTTTGACGAGCTAGTAGCAGCTTCTTGGTAGCATGACCAGCGCAGTCACACAAGGCCCTTTGCTTAGAAGCAACCTGCATTTAGTTTAACGCCGTGTTTTTGCCATCTTAAAACTGAATTGTGGCCTAAGAGTTGCACATTTTGCACTACTCTCACAAAGCATATTGTCCTTCTTGTCTTTAGGAATGGGTCAGGTTCTTGTTCTGGCCCTTAATTTTTTTTGTCTTTTTCCTTTTTATCGGTACTGGGGATCGAACTCAACGACCGCCTGCTTGCAAGGCAGGCGCTTATGCCGTTGAGCTAAATCCCCAGCCCCTCTGGCCCTTAGTTTTTGGAAACACTTTACCACTGATTTCTTAGGGAATTATTTCCTTGGAGCGAATATATAATTTATTCATAGATGATTAGGGCTGCCATCCTGTGTATCTTTATCTCTGTGTGTTCCATTCTGGGATAACGTATGCAGCCTGAGAAAGGAACACTGTATGTTTCACAGACTGTTAGATCCTGAGACGTTACAGAGCTGGTGAAATGAAGTGATGATTGGGATTTTGGAGTTAGGAACAGATTGAGGTTGGCTGAATTCTTTAGATAAAATAATATCTCTGTGTGACTGGTAAAATCTATGTTGCAGGGGAATTACTTTTTCTTTATTGCTAAAATACATGTTTCAGGGGAATTAAATAATTTATTTAAAGTGCCTTTCACAGAGTGTCTGGCACATAGTAGGTGCTCAATCACTATTAATTCTGGGTTTTGCCAGAAGTAGCAAAAATCAGGGCACTAGGACTTATGAGCCCTGCTGCTACTAATAAAAGAAATAATTTGATTTATTTTTTTCACTACTATTTGGGGGAAAGTGTGCTTCATAAATATGTATTGGAAGGTACTTAGCAAATGAGTAGAAATAATAAAAGTATGTCATCGTAAACAGCTCCTATAAATATGTCACTTGGTAGACAAATTAGTGTTATATTACTACTAAATACTATTGCTCGCTGAGAAGGATTTTAGATTACTTGCACAATGGGTACATTATTGAGTGCCTTTGTGGAAGGGCATGATAAAGATGACAGATAGAGATGGCAGTGGTACCTAAGGTGGAGAAAGGAGGTGTGTGGGCACATGCAGTTCCTGGCTTCAGTGATACTACATGATGTAGATCATTCCACTGATTTAGCCGTAATGTGGGCCAGGGGGCACTCAAAAAAGACTTCCCCAACATGTCAAGAATTGAGACTTCAAGTTATTGGGTCCAATTAATGAATGAGGTGTATGCCCTTTCAGAACTGCACACTCAGATGGTAAACTGAAGTTTACAAAAAGACATCTCTGGGTCTTAACCTTGTTCTGAACCTATTAAATTTCCATGGCCATAATTTACATCTAGAGCAGAAGATAATGCTGTGCCTCAATCATGGCTCACAAGTCCAGCTCAGAAATAAAAGAGGATGGACAATTTAGAAGAGAAGAGGAAGCACTGGACAGTTTGTGGGTTCAAATCCCAGCATGCAGTGCATCTGTATATTGTATATGTGTAGTGGCATGTGCCTGCAAGCTGAGCTGCTCAGAAACTGAAGCAGGAATATTGTAGATAGCTAAATTAGATTAAAAAAAAATTACATGCAGACAGCGGTGGCCCTTGAGGGAGTCAGTGCAGAGGATGAGAATACATTACAACTGTGGCTGGAGGTGCCTCCATCCAAGGCCTGGCCTCAGAGGAGATGACCAGGTCTCCAGGCCTCCCAAGGGATAAGCAATATATTATAATTGGCATCATATGGTCCAGTAAAGTTTGACTGATGTCTTGATAGACATCAGTCAACCAAATGAGTGAGCAGGCCTCCTGACTCATCTCTTCCAAAAAGGGTCTTTGATCTTTCCATGTACACTTGCTGTGTGACTTGGTTTCTCATTGGATCAACATTACCTAAGGAGCTATACTTGTAATCTTATTGGTTGATCATAATTTCATCCTATGTTGTACCTACTTTGTGACTTTGTTCTATAAAACTTTCTTTGGAAAGTGGGGTCTGCAGGAGCACACTTGCATTCCCCACTGAGGAGCTATCTCTCCCTCAATTAAATTGCCTACTTTTAACCTCTGCTGTTCCTTAGAATTTATTGTTCAATTTTGGAGAACACAAACATCAGTGTATCTGTTGGTTTAGCAGGTTGGGAGTTATTTCTCATCATTTGGAGGTCCTGTGTCAGGAGAATTGAAAGTTTGAGATGGCAACTTTGTGAGACCCTGTCTCATAAAACAAAAACAAAAATAAAATAAGAAAAACCAAGAAAGAAAAGAAAGAAAAAAAAAAAGGACTGGGATGCACTTACTAGTAGCTGAGCACTTACTAGTTTGTGCAAAGCGGTAGGGTCAATCCCCAGTGCTGAAAAAAAAAAAAAAAAAAAAAAAGAAAAGAAAAGAAAAAGAAAAAAAGGTACAGCTGGGCAGGAGAGCGCTTGCCTAGCATACATGAGTCCCTGAGTGTGGTCCCCAGTGCTGAAGGAAAAAAAGGAATCAGAAGGAAAAAAGAGAAGGTAATAAATGCCTTTGTGGGGGAAATAAAGCCCTGATAAGAAGTGGAGGAGATGGGCTGGGGATTTAGCTCAGTGGCATAAGCGCCTGCCTTGCAAGCAGGCAGTCGTCAGTTTGACCCTGGTACCGAAAAAGACGAAAGGAAAAAAAAAAAAAGTGGAGGAGAAGGAATTACATCAAGCAAAGTTACAAAAACTAGGCAAAAACATGGTTACATTGAGTTCAGGAATAGGACATTCAGTCCACAAATTCTAGGTGTTACAAAGAAGCAATTTATCATTCCAGCTCAGTTTTTTTTTTTTTTTTTATCTGTGTAGATTTGGGCAAATTACTTAATATGTAGATCTTCATTGATAACATGGGAACAATGCTACTCAGTTTGCTGAGTTGTTTTGAGGATTGGAAATAATAAAGATACTTGTAGTAAAATAAGAAAGCTGAAATTGTAATCATCCTGGCTCAATTTCCTGAGTAGCTGGGATGATAGGCCAACCATATACATATGTTTATTGCAATTTCTTGTATCAAATTCTTTATTTTAAAATACCATGGGCTGACTGGTATAGCTTAGTGGTAGAGCACTTGCCTAACATGTGTGAGGGTTTGGGTTTGATCTCTAGCACTATAAAGCTAAATTAAAAAATACAAATTGCCCAGAAAAATGGTAGGCAGTCTCGATAGGAAAGTAAAACCTAAGAAAATTGTGTCACTAGACACCAGTCAGAAGAAAAGATTAGAAAGAAAGATTATTTTCATGGCTAGGCAGCTCCTTAGCCTACACTGGCTAATGGTCCCCTATGCTACTCTAGCGTTTTATGGTTTATTAAGTGCTTGGTACCTTAGTTCATCTAATCGGGCAATCAACCTGCCTTTCTGGGATAAGAAAGAGTTCAGAAAGGTTCAGTACCTTGCTGGAAGACATAGCTGATGAATGGCAGAGGTAGAGTAGCTGTCTTTCTATCACAGCCTTTCTCAGCAGTCTGCTCATCTTTCTAAGGAGAAAGTAGCAAATCCTGGGTTAGACTGCAAAATGCTAGAAGCCAGAGGTCCCAGCGCACTAGTGGGCTAGGTTCTGGTGTCTCTCAGGCCTGGCTGATATATGACCTCCCAGTTGTGGGACCTGGAATCAGATCGGGAATCTCACGAACCAGGGTTTCTTCAACTGTGAATGAGGAGCCACCTCCTGCCCCTAAAATTGCACTGGGGGAACAGCGAGATACCAAAGTGAGGCAACTGCCACATTTTTACTATGAACAAGATCAGAGATGTTCGGGGACGCGGTGAAGGTCTCCAAACCCGGCTGTGGTCCAAAGGACTCGGAACCTGAACTCTTCCCTTATCAGGCAGAGTTCTGTAGCCAAGGCAACCAGGCCAGCCTGAAACCCTAAGGAGGAAACCACGCCTCCCCGGGCTCCGGCCCTGACACGCTCCCGAGGCTCGGCACCGCTAGGGGGCGCTCGCCGAGGCAGCTCTCTAGCCCGTCATGCGCCTAGCTCCTCTCTATGGTGTGGCGGCCGCTGCTGAGGGGGGCGCGCTCCCGCGAGGGGGCGGGGCATCTCAGGGGCGGGGCCTTGCGAGGGGCGGGAGCTGTCTCGCCGGGTTACCCAGGGATGGGTGGGGGGGCCGACTTCCTGGGGCCGCCCGCGAGGATGTCGCCACCGCCCCCCAGTGCCCCTCAGCCCCGGAGACTCCGCTGCCCCCCTGCCTGAGGCGTCCACAGCCTGAATCCGTCTTCTCCCTCCCTCTTTTCCTCCCTCCCCTCCCAGGTGCGCGCCGGGCCGGCGGCAGGTGAGGAAGGGGTGGCGACGGCGCTTGGGTCCCCGGGGCCCGGCCTGGGGTGGGGTCGTGCGGGAGGACGGGGGCTCCCCTCGTGCGATAGGATGCGAGGGGGGCGCCTTCTCAGTGTGGAGCGCGGCCTGGGACTCCCGGTTCCCTACGGGGGTGGGAGAATTCTTCGCTTGCAGGAAGTGTCCGCTTTCGGGGCAGCCCACACCTGTCCCATTGAAAGTACCGTCCGAGAAAGCATTTCACCGTGGGGAGGTCCCGGGTGCTGTATTTTCAGGTATCATCCCTAGCGCCTTACACACTGGCCGGTCCAGCAGGCTGGGGTGGGGGTTCCCTCTTTAAGCGCAGAGTAAACTGAGGCAGGTCTGCAGGGCCCTGCTTGCCTCTAAGGAAACTAGCCTGTGCCCTTTCTGGTGGTGGAAACCTAAGGGCCGCTGGAAAGAGAGATTTAGAATTGGAAGGTTGGATGGAGAAGTTTGGGAATGCGGTTCTCCCCCAGCGTTGGTCTCTTGGGAGTCGTCCTCTGTGCTCTGCGCGTGTGAGGTCGCCGCTGTGCGGCTGTGGCCGAGACAGAGAGGAGACTGGGGCCTCTCTCCAGCTGGCTGCCCGGGAGTCATTTGACCAGGCTTGGGGAAGTCTGGCTAGACCGGGGTAGCCCAGAACCTCCGCTGGCATCTGTCCGCCTAGAGCTTGGTTTCAGGCTGGCAGCAGAGGCAGCAACGTATTTTCGCCTTTTTGTTGGTCTGTCATTTGTTCTAGGGGGAGGGTTGAAACCTGCTTGTGTAATCAAGGAAGAGTGTACCACGCTCCTTCTAGTCTACCAGGGGGAAGGATTATTGTCAGCTTAGAAATAAGGCTTTACCCGCAAGTGTCACTTGGCACTCTGGTTACAAAGGTTAGAGTGACGCAATGAACAAAAGGGTGCATGTGGCCTTCTAAGAAAGCAGGTAAGTTCCTTACGCATCTTTTTCACGGGTGGTTTGCAAGACAGAGACTTCCTGTCTCCACTGTTACCACAAGTGCCTTGTGGGTCTCACTGACAAGTCAGTGAGTCTTGTACCATTTTTCTAGGAATGAGAGTACTCAGGGACATGGATGTCCTTGGTTGAGTTTGTGTACAGAGTTCTAGGACTGGATGCTGGCCATGCTGCTTCTTTTCTGTTCAAGAAATTTCAGGTTTGACTTCATTCCCCTTTCCCCTGGTAACATTTTCGTTAACATTTTCGTTCCAAGGAAACAGGGGATGGCAAGCATTTCTGAAATTTGCATATTTACTAATTCTGGACTTCAGAATACAATTCATAAGACAAGTTCATGTAGGGGTGTTATTTTCTTTTTTTTTTTTTTTTTTTTTTTTTTTTGTCTTTTTCCTTTTTACTGGTACCGGGGATCGAACTCACGACTGCCTGCTTCCAAGGCAGGTGCTTATGCCGCTGAGCTAAATCCCCAGCCCCAGGGGTGTTATTTTCATAAGTCTGAGAATGTTTGGCTATTACACAGAATAATTTCAGATTGATGGGAGAGCCTAATAACTTGATTTCTTTTTCTTTCTTTCTTTTTTTGTTTTTGGTCTCTTTGAGACAGGGGTCTCACTGCAGTTCAGGCTGACCTTGAGCTTATTTTGTAGCCCAGGCTGGTCTCAGACTCACAAAAATCCTGCCTCAGCCTCTCAAGTACTGGAAATACAGGTGTGTGCCACTATGCCCGGCTTGATTATTCTATAATCTATAAGATTATATCTGTCCTTGTAATCTAGGACACAAACATTTTAATATATGTCTATGTAGAAACACCAGCCATTAAAACTTCTTGTAATGATCAGCTGCTGTCTTATTTACATTGGGATCAACAGCTGTAAATCCTCCAAATTGACCAGTTTAACGAACTGCTAAAATAATGTGCACAATGCCTGGTGTATACCCAGCACTCTAGAGGCTGAGGCAGAAAGATTACTGAGAGTTTGAGGCCAGCCTGAACTACAAAGTAAGACCCTGTCTCAAAAACAAACAAACAACAACAAAGGAAAAATCACACACACACAAAAAGCTGTTCTCTTGGCAGTATGATTTTATATGTTCTTTTGGCCAGACCAGCTGACATAACTGTGTATAGTACCCTCTAGTAGAAATGCCTTTTTTTGGTGGTGGTGGTGGTGGTGGTGCTGTTGCTGCTGGGGATTGAACCTAGGACCTTGTGTATGCTAGGCAAATGTCCTAGTGCTGACCTCTGTCCCAGCCCTTTTTATTTATTTATTTTGAGACAGGTTCTTGCCATCTTGCCTAAGCTAGCCTCAAACTTGCGATCCTCCTGCCTCAGCCTCCAGAGTAGCATAGATTACAGAACCTGCACGACTGTATCCAGCTAAAGAATTAGCAGTGTTCTTTGTTTTATGTGCTGAGCTACATCTCTAGCTCCCCAAATGTTTCTCAGTGGGCTTTCCAAATAGCAGTAGAAAAGGCATTTTCTTTGACTAGTGTTTAAGGAGGCAAAACAAGCATCAGTACTAGCAATAAGAAGTATACATTTTTTTAAATTTTTTTTTTTTTTATTGGTACTGGGGATCGAACTCATAACCATGCGCTTGCAAGGCAGTCACTTATGCCACTGAGCTAAATCCCCAGCCCAGAAGTATACATTTTTGTTGTTCAATACCCAGGGCTTTTGCACTGAACTACATCCAAAGCCCATTTATTATTTTATTCAGTTACTTATTTTTGGAACTGGGAATCAAAGTCAAGATCTCCCGCTCACCAGGCAGGTGCTGTGCCGCTGAACTATATTCCTGGGCTCTATTATTTTTATTTTGAGAGAGCAGTTTACTGAGTCGCAAAGTTGCATAGTCTGGGCTTCAAATTGTGATCCTCCTGGGTCTTCCTCTCAGAGTGCTGGGATTGCACCAACTGGAGTTGGTTGCACCAACTCCAGGTTTCTAATAACATGTGTGTTGTGACATTTAGTACAGCCCCACCATCCAGCTGTTTGAGTGCCACCTAGTACTTTCTGAAAACAGCTATATCACCCTAAGTAGTGTCGGAGGGCTTGATTTTTATCTTTATAATAAAATCTTTTAATTCTGGTATTGTTTTAATGATAGAGGACTTTTATTTTCAGTGCTCAGTATTATTTTTGGTGGTGCTGGGGATCGAGCTGAGGGCCTTAGAAATGCCACTACTCAGGATGTTCTGCCACGGAACTATCCCCTCAACCTCTTGGGTTATTTTTGTTTGACCTAGTTATTGGTAATGTTTACTTGATGTTTATGGAAGGTGGATTTTGGCAATTTTAAAAACAATCTTCATATGTAATCACAGACTTTTTAATAGGGAAAATGGTCTGGCCACTTAGTTTTAAAACATTGTTGTGTAATTTTAAAAACTTAAAATTTGAGAGTTCTTAGTAAGGTCCAGTAGTATCCTGTTAGGTGCCACATAAAAGCCATCTCTAATAGGTAAATTGGCCTCATGTATTAAGAGAGCTCAGTTCTCCCTCTTCTCAGGCTTTAACAGTTGCATGGTCACAAGAGTGGTTATATCTAATCCTGTTACGCCAGTCCTAGCTTAAACCTATTATCCTTTATCTTCACTAAGACTGTCTTGCACTTTCTTTTACTTTTGTTATCCAGGGTGCATGGTTCACATTTTTAATGTGTCTATACCTGTCTACATTTGAAGTGGAGCTAAGTAGTTGGTGAAAAGAGTCCTGCATGATTTTAAACATTTTTGTTTTTCAAAGCAAGCTTAAATTCTGTTTCTTCTGGGACAAACCCAGCTCTTTGAATCTGATAGTAAAACAAAAGCTGGTTTTTCCAGCTTTCTACAAGAAAGAAATCTTCGTTAACTTTTCTTGCTTTCTGGTTTTGCCGGTATGGTGACTAGTAGCGAAGGATGACCCAGTTACACGGGGAGATCCTGCAGGCTCCTGAATCATCAAAGGTAGGTCACTTTGCAGGCAGTGCAGCTTCAGCCTTTTCAGTTTGTTTTATTGCGAGGAGTTCCAAAAAGGGAGCCACTCCTTGAAAGATCTGGTATCTGGCAGTTTTCTACTGAGTCACTGAGGTGTTTTTTAAAAGATGCAGATTTCCGAGCTCTGCCTCCTGGAGATTTTGATTGAACGGGTACAGGAGGATCAGGAACCTACTTTTAAAAAATTTTCCTTTACATCTACAGTTTTTCCAAAAAGTTACCCAAGTACTTTGGATATGCAGATAACTTGGGAGTTTGGAGACCACTGTTGTATTGTTTTGATATTCTTTATTGTATTTTATTTATTTTTTTGTCTCCTTGTACATCAAACCCTGTGGAATTTTGACTATTATGATGCTCTTTTTTCCCCCTTTAATTTTTACCATTAATTTTAAAATTGTAATTGTACACACTGAAATTCTTTGTAAATTGGTAGTCCCTCCACTAGCATTGTTATGCTATCCAGGATATTTGCTTTGCTAGAATATCCCATTTCCTAGTCAGGATAGATAACAAAGCGCTTTTATAACTTTTATGTAAATTGCTCTGCCACAAAGCCCCTCTGCTGCATTATCTATTGGGAGTCATGAGGGAGCGTTTTTTGGTTGAAAGTAGCTTTCTTTAGCTCCTGAGTGGACAAATGAGTGATAATGCAGAAACAGCTGGAGGTCTGAATAGGTAGTCAGTTGAGTTGTGATCCGTTGGGATAGGATATGAGAGATGCCTGGGAATTCTCTTAGGTAAGATTTTAAAATAGAGCCACCAAGCCAGTAGTTTCATTTTTCACAGCTGAATCCCTTATTGCAAATAGGTGATAAATAGTCAATAAAATTTAGTCACAGGTTCTTTGCTGAAATCATGGAGGGAAGAAAATTGCTGAAACCCAGAAACATCTGTAGGGCATTAAACTTGGGTTTAATTGAACTCAGGACCTTGCATGTGCCAGGCTGGTATTGTGCTGCTGGAAACTGGCCCTAAAAACTTTTTGAGACAGGGTTTCACTAAATTGCCTAACCTGGGCTCCAGTTTGTGATCTTCCCA